CCTCTCGACTTCGCCGCGCTTGTTGACGGGGTAGGGGTAGCTTTTCGTGTAAATGGGTGTTTCTGTGTTAGTCCTTATTTCTGCCTGTACGTTGGTAGCTATTTCTGTGCACCGATCAACTGGACCAAATAAATTTTCGTATCTATTCAATATGCTGTTGAGTTGCTTTCTTGTAGAGTCAGTGATATAAGGATCGAGAGGGATGCTTGCGTCTATACTATTGACATTCTGTGCTTCCTTTCGCTTAAGGGGGAGCAATATGTCAGGTTTCAATATAAGGAGGTTTAATTCCCTGTCTAGTACGGCTTTGATTTCCGTAAGTGTGTCATCGCCTATAATCCCATGGAAGGATGTGAGTCCAGGGAGGACAAAAAATGTAGTAGGCAGGTCCTTGCCTACAAACTTAAAAAAATTTCCACAAATTTTCCTGTCTACCAAAATTTTCCCCCCCGCGGAAGTGACATGGAATGGTTTATCCACTGGTCTAGTGTTTTGGGCGATGCGTTCGCTGATGTAGTTTTTATTTGCTCCCGTGTCCACTAAAAACTCTAAAGTGCCATGATCCCGCTTATCATATTCTAGATATGGTACGCCGGACACGAGGCTCCTATTGTAAAATTTACCTGATCGCATACTTGCTCGTTACTTAATTCGTTGGAAGCATTTTCTACCACATCTTCGTCCCCTGGAACTAAATGGAATAGCTTTTGCTGTTTGCTACCACTTTGTTTTGAGAGTCCCGTGGAAGTTGAACCTCTCTTCAAGCCATCGTATCTTGGGAACCTTGGACTAGAGGTCTGTCGGGTTTGGGAAGATTAATTGGTATCTCTTCTTTCGGCTCCTGATATATTGTTATTACGCCAGCTTTGCGTCGTTTGGTTGCTGCCCCTAGTTTGCCCTGAGGATGTGTAAGAGGGATAGGAACCCCCCTGATTTGTGGTTCTTCCTGTGTATCCTCTGTTTGTCTGTGTCCCATTATTGTATCCCGATTGGCTTTGTGCCGGATTTTTAAATTCCTCGGTAAAATCTCTGTTGCCCCTCGAAAAATAACGCGATGCTGAAGGTTAATATGCATCGCCGAACATTCGGCCACTTCTGTTTAAAGCTTGTGGAGGGCGGTAGATAGCGTTTCGTCTATCCACGTATAGGAAGGTAAGACATGAGGAATATGCTTCGGGTAAGGATTTTGGCTTCTGCATAAGTAACAGAGTCGGAAGATCACCATTTAGCCCCCTAATAAAAACATCCAGAGCCCTACGCCGGTGTGCTTCCGTTAATGCCTGGACGGTTTCCCCATGGACGTAGTTGTCTGTATTTGTAGTGTTGATGATAAGTGACAACTGCTTATTGATTTTAGCATAGAATTCCGAAACTTTTTGGCGACCTTGTGTCATGAGAGTAAGTTGTTGATCCAACGTCTCTATATCCCTGGAATCTGCGTAATGCAGTGACAAAATTTCCTTAATTTTTCGCCAGTTGCTCTCAAGAATGTTATGCGACACTAGTGCAGCATCGGCTGCACCCCTAATTTTGCACCTGATGTGCCTCAGAATGGCCCTATAGATTGGTTTATGCCGTACAACCTGGTAGTCATTTAAAACCTGCTCTACGCTATGGACCCAGGAGGAATAATGCTCCCTGGATCCATCGAACACTTGAAGCTCCTTCACGCAGTCTGGCAATTTAGAAATTTTCCTAAGTTCGTCCTCCGTCCGAGGACTTGTCAGTGGCTCTTCCACCGGACGTGTTTCCGGGTCCGCGGACTGCCTGCGAACCTCCTCTACCTGGCTCTCTAGCCTTTCTAGATTCTCACTGAGTCCTTGTAAGGACTCATCGTTGGTCTTCGACTCCACACTTTTGAGCCGTTCTTCCAACCTTCTCAGTTGTGACAGAATGGCGTTCACTGCGCCATTCATTTCCGTCATGGATTTCTTAAATTCGTCCGCGTTCATGCTGTAACGAGATTAAAGGTTATCTTTTAACAGTTTGTATACTTACAAAGTCCAATATTTCATTGGAGTATTTGCTTTTTCTATAGTGTACGCTTCTCTTCACAGATTAAAATTATTTAATTTCGCATAGAACTTTTGCGCTCTCACAGTTTTTATTTATATTCCTTAATTTTTCCGGATTTTATGGGGAACCTTTTTTTTCACGGCTTTTGTTCTATTACAGTTACTTTCGCATGGAGCTACTAAGTGTATTCTCACAATTTTTTCAGAGTTTTTACTTATATTCTTTCTTGTAGTTTTTTCCACAATTTTTTTCCGGTTTAATTCGGAACGTTTTTTTCCTTTTTCACAGCGTTTTGTTTTTTTTTTATTGACTTTGGCGGACCCTGCACCGAACCGTCTCGGGCGCCAGTTAATCTCTCGTGTCGCGAGAGATATAAAAAATTAAAGGTGCGGCGAACCCACTGTTCGCCGATGCTATTCAAACCGTAATTAAAAGACGGACAACTCGAGTTGAGCTTATCACAATTTATTACGTGTCACTTGCACGTCCCAAAATTAACTAACTGAAACATATGAATTGACTTACTGGCTAACCTCTTACTCCTAACTACTTATGCTAAGGTTGCAGTTCCCACATTTCGCAAGTTGGGGCTTGCGCGTGCAGACAGGAATTGCTTATATTGCAATTCCCATGATTTCAATAATTCCGATACTTGACCTGATCGGTGGTTGCGCGTGTGCCGCGTCAGCAAAGTTAGTAAGTGCAACAATATGGTCACATGCCTGGCAACGTGAGTAAAGGGTGCGCCATTGATCGGTATTGATATTACAGGTGTCTTAATTGAAAGACATTCTTTAAGCGAAACTAGAAAATTAGATACAACTTTGTCAGATTCAGAGATTGGTGATCGTAAACCTTCTGAATTTTATCGGTCGCTCATGCCGCTTATATATATATATATATATATATCTTTCTAAAACCAAAAATTCGTCAAACTAAAGTAATCCGTTGTTGTGGCGACAAACAACACAAATTTAGATAGTACCACGCGTCGCATATTTATTCTTGATAAAACAAACAAACTAAATTTTCTGATTGATAGTGGAGCAGAAATTTCTGTACTTCCGGTAACAAAATTGCCTCATACAAAACGTTCTTCAGATATAATTCTTACTGCAGCCAACGGTTCAACGTATGGTAAAAGACTTTAAATATAAATTTAGGGTGAAGGCGTGAGTTTCCTTTTACGTTTTTGATATAGCTGATATAGCGAAACTGATTATTCGGGCAGATTTTCTTTGCAAATACGGTATCTTAATTGACATGAAATGCAAACGTTTAGATTATCCCGTAACAAGTCTTTCGGTTAACATGGTTTCATGTGTTTGTAACATTTCGCTTCCAAACATTTTCGTAGTAGAGTACAAGTATACAAGATTGTTGAAGGAGTTTCCTTTTTTGATCGCTGAACCAGATTATTCAAAACATATTTTTCTTGAGTTGTCAACAACGTAATTTCATTTAGATTTTTGGATTAAACCTTTTTTTAAACAAATTTATATATTGTTAACTACACACACTATCAGTCAAAACTGACACTGACTGACAGTCAACCACACAAATTTTTGCGGTTGACTGATGACTTACGAAAACGAGCGGTCACACGGGGGAACGGGGAAATTTAAGCAAAACTGTCGATTTTGATCGCCAATGTGTACCACACCTAATGTGAAAGTCAGATTTACAGTTGTGAGTGTCAGGCTAAAGTTTTATCAGTTTTGAATGCTGGTTGTATTAGCGAGACTGTCATTCACGTTCGATGTCAAACTCACATTCAAAATTGACGGCATTTTTGACTGTCACTTATTATGAAACTACTGGCTACTACCAAAATGTAAGGGGGAACCTCAGCTCTACTTGACTCAAATGTTTATGTTTAGCAACTACGTATTGTGTGCATCTGGCTCTGTTTCCATCCCGCAGCTTCAGCCATAGTGAGTTCGCTTATGGCGCTAAACCAATATGTATTTCCTCCCACATGCCAACAGCTCAAAAAAATACATACAAAATTATGCACACAGAGAGAGATTATCCTACTATGTTAATCTTTAACAGCACTATGTTGGAGTGACAGTTTGAAATAATCTACTACTTACAAATGATTTATGAATTTCCTATTAAGGTGTTTTAGACTACCCAATCTGTTAACAACCTAAAAAGGGGTTACTGAATTAATTCATCGCGAAGTTATTAGATATATAGCAGGTTTACAGGCAACCTAACACAGGGCAAGGTTTGCGGAACTGCTGCAAAGCTTGAACGAAATTAAATTTTTCTTGGCTTGATACCTTTTTTATGATAAAACTCCCTCCATCCTCCAGATGATATAAGCAACTGCCTTTTGTGCCAATAACTTTACTTTTAATAAATTTAGGTGTGAATTTTGCGCAAAACTTCTTGGCAGCATTTTCTAATTTCCGGAAAAATTATCGTATTTTATTCTAATAGGTTTTTACTTAGTTGAACTTATTTATTTTTCTTAATATGGTTTTGTTAATTTGAGCGCTCAATTCATTGTTTTATGTTTTTAACCCTCTAGTAGGCTTGACCGCCTTCAGACGGTCGTTAACTAAACACGTATTTAGTGCACCTATAATAATTTTTTTCTAAATTCCAAAAGCACGATCTTTAGAAAAAAAGCGTACCTTTACGACGATGTAAATTTTAATCAGTTATGTCAATCCGTTTTATTTTAATCGACAGTTGAATCACAGATTGTGAAAGACTCGGTTAAAATTAATTATTTCTTGCTATTAAGTAATTTCGTAATTAAAGAAATTTTTTCTTTTGAAACATTTTTTGATACAAAAAAATTCAGTGGGTTTCGTAGTTAAAAGCATAGTATTTTGATATAAGTTTTATAATTATGTCACCATTCGAAATAGAGAAAATTGCTTTCGAACACAGACCGTCTTGCCGACATATAAAAACCCCGTTTGCGTTTTTGACTGGCTGCAGACGGGATTGCCGGTTCGCAGGTCAACATTGGGCCGTATGCATAAAATCTAAGCAATTACTTTTTCTCAGATTTTCATACCTTTCACTTAAATTTATTTGAAAAAAATGAGTGAAAGGTCTGAAATTTTAAGAAAAAGCATTTGCTTAGGTTTTATGCATACGGCCCATTGTGTAAGAGAAAGCTGAAAATACGTCCAAGTATTTCGGCGAGCCCGTCTCGACGGTCTTGGTTTTTCTCCCCTGTAGGAAAAAGTTACTGTCACAGATCGAAATGGACATCATTTTTGGATTTCACGTGCTAAAATCACCCATTCCTGAATTTTTCAACTCATACAAAAATTGGCCTACTAGAGGGTTAAACTTAAGTAATAGATAAAATATGGTGTCGTCCCACCTCTTAGGTTTACATTCACTATTTACATTTTCTTTAACCGATTCTTATGTACGGTTGTAGTTTTTGAATTTATATCAATTTTGCAATTATCGTTATTGTCTGCTTCTAACACGCGGTACGGACCTTTGTATATGCTGTCTAATTTATGGCTAGCTTCATCGTGAAGATAAACCAATTCATCTACCTGAATAGACTGTGGATTTTACTTTTTGTCATATTGATTTTTGTTTTGTTCTTTTGACCTTTCTAAGTATTCTCTAGCTCTGTTTTGCGCTAATAGTAGTAGTCTATATTTAAGTTCTTTACTATAGTCGTCAATGTTGTATAGTGGATCGATTGTTGTGGAATTTAGAAAGTCGTATGATGGTGGTGTTTTACCATAATCTAATTCGAATGGAGTATAACCATATGTTGTTGATGGAGTGGTGTTACATGCGTATGTGAAGAACTTAACGCATTCATCACAATTAGTTTGACTTTCGTTTAAGTAAGATCTAAAATATTCATTTAGTGTTTTGTGACTACGTTCAACAGTGCCTAACGTTTGATGGTGGTATGGCGTGGATGTTTTGTGCTCAACCTTCTAAAATTGGCAAATTCCTTTGAAAAGTTCACTTTTATATTCTGTACCCATGTCAGTAATGATATTTTTTATGAGGGCATGAATCAAAATGCAATTTTCAACGATTGCTTTCGCAACCTCTTTGGCTGTTTTGTTCGGAATTGGAACAGTTATTAGAAATTTAGTCAAATCGCATATGATTGTAACTGCATATTCATTATTGTTAAATGATTTTGGTAAGGGTCCTACTGTGTCAATTTGTATCGTGTCAAATGCTTTGATGGATGTTGGTGTTTTTGTTAATTGTTCTATATTTTTTATACCTGATTTGTTTGTTTTGCATTTTTCACACTTTTTTGATGTAGTTTCTAACATCTTTTGTTAAATTGTTCTATGTGTAATTTCTTTTTATTTTATTTAATAGTCGCGTGACGCCTGGGTGGCCACCAACGACAGGGTCATCGTGAAGTTTTTCTAGAATTTTTTGTTTTTGACTTTCAGAAGTTATTGTTATGAGTGCCGGTGTTATGGCAATTGTTACTTTTTTTTAATTTTATTGCCTATATTTTTAAATTCATTCATCTCGACATATTTAAATATTCTATCATTGATTGCAATCTTTATATTATCGATATCCTTACTGCCAACTAATTTTTTAAGTTTTGGAAATAATTTCGCTAGAGCGATTTTTCCATGAACAATAAGTTTATCTATATTGAGTTCTAGAACATGTTTTTTACCATTTAATATTTTCAATTTTAGAGTACTCTTATCTTTAATTAATTTTAGGCATGGTAACTTTCTGACTACTTCGTTTGTTAATGTTTCATAAGTTTGTACAGATACCTTCGTTTTATTTATTTGTGTGTTTGGTAAATCATTTGGTGAAGGGTTGTCTTTTTTGCTTTTGTTCTTGTAGTGACTTGGAAAATTTTGGTATTCTCGTCTTTAACTTGTTCGACAACCACAATTTTCTTTGCCTTTAATATATTCTATTTCGAAATCAAATTCTCCGAGTCTCAT